AAGAATATTTAGGCTGGGTAAGCTGATTTCTTGTGTACAGCTGATGATTACCTTTTCCTGAAGAACCTTTTTTATGTATTGGAAGACTGTTATCTGATGTCTGTTTTTCCAGACTCTACAAACCCAGTTGTGGGGCTTTTTGGGGGATTTTTTTTTTTTAAGGTTTTTTTGTTTTGTTTTTGTTTTTGTTTTTTTTTTTTACTTGTAGGTCATTTTTCTAAACTTTTGATTCTCGGTGCTTTTTTTCTGTACTATCAAAATTGTCCACTTCTTTCTTTAAATATATTGAAAGTCTTGAGCTGATTTTATTGTACCAGTTTGGCACAGCTAATCTGTGTGATTGAAAAGGTGAATGTTCTCTCTCACTGCCTATTATGTAACTTTGCTAAATGGGATTATAATTGGCAAGATAAGCTGTTTCCCTTGACCTCTTTTCAGGACTTATAGAGTATTTAGCCCAAAGGCTATAAAATGTCTCAACACGTCTTAATGTGTTCATGTGAAGATTCACCATAGAAGAAGATGTGTACTTAGTAATTCACCTTCTCTTCAAATCCATTGGAATCTAGTAAAGGTTAGAGAGAGATACCATCAACATAAATAATATATATAGTTAAATGATCAGTGGTGACAATTTAGCTAGGATGATAAAATGCTGGTAAGCAAACTGGAAAAATAGAATTGCAGCAATATCTATTAGTTGCTTATGGAAATTTCACTTGCATCCATATCAAAGATAGAATCTAGAGGAAATATGAATGCAAAACACCCTGGGAAGTTTAAAAAAAAAAAAAAAAAAAGAAAGCTTGGAGGTAGAAGGGTCCTCAAGGGTATGGTTGTTCTAGAACTTCACAGAAGCAGAGGGATGGAGCAAAATCTGTTAAGCATGCATATTTCTGACACTGTTTACTTTTTATCATTATTATATTACTTTCACATGGTGGTGGCAGCCTGATTCTATTGTCTTGTCCCATTTACATCTATGCAGAGAAGAAAGTTTATAAAGTAAAACTGCAAATGCTTAAACTGTTAGAGAGATGGGAAGAGAATAATTGGGTCAATGTGATATTTTCATCCCCTCTACACAAGTGCTGTGTGTTGGGTCCATGCGAGGTCAGATGGATCGGTGCAGTAGGGGGCATAGGAGCAACCAATATTTTTCATGCAAATATTCTGCATTATTAAATCCTGGGAAGATCTGAGGTTAGTGTTAGTTCCTACAATCTTGTGTTTTTTATATGGCTAGTTTCACTGACTATCACAGGGAAGCTGGTCTTGACAGAAAGGGATTCAAAAACCCTTTCTGTGGCTTTTTATTGGTTTTTGGGTATTCTCAAGTAATAAGGCAGGCTTTACCTCCCTGGAATTTCATCTTAGCTTTGGATATATTTTTTTCTTCAAGGAAATTTTAGCTTTCTCTGGTAAGGTATGCTTGTTCTTTGTGCTTGGAATTTGGTTTCAAAATCCCTCATGAAAACTGAAGTTTATATACATAATTCTTTAGACAGCTCTCATCTGCTGCATAAGGTAGTAAAATAGAACCTGAGGCCTTACTTTTTTTATATGGCTGGTGTGACAATTTCTGAATATACCATAAAAATGTCTAAAGCATTTAATGTATAAAATATTAGGTAATATTCTGTGGGGACAATTCCTTCTAAAATGTATAAAACATACCTGATAAAACATTAAGAGTACAGAGACATTTGTCTCCTTTAGCCATCTAGTACAAAAATGTCGCAATACCACTGGAGGTACCTATTTTCTCTTACCAGTATATCCTAATTGTCTGACTAATGAAAAAAATTATTAGTTTAGCACCATGAGAATTTTAATTTACAATGGAATATTTGGAAGATTATACAATTAAAAAGATAATCTCTGGTGTAAATTGATGTATTAATAACATAATATCAGCTAGGTCATGATTCTGCCTTGCAGCACAAAATAATATACCTCTAGAATATTAAAGATGAAGGTGCATGCAAAAAAAGGCACTTCTGACTTAAGTTGAAGCTTGAACAAAGATGTTGCTTATTGAACTTTCCATTCCATTTCCATTTGTTCCTACAACAGATGTACTATCATTTGTACACTGGAGTCCTCAGGGGTGATTCAAGAAAACTAAAACTTTCATCTGTCTGTTTTTCAAATCTGATGGTCCCCTCCTGAGGATGTATAGACCATTTTAAGAGAAGGGCGGAGCTGTATGCTAGTTCCTGTCAACTCTGGTTTGACCCTCCTTTAAACATGAAAGTTGCATGCTGAAGGGAATAGTAATAGAAACAAGACTAAAATAACTTTGAAAAGATACAGACAGATCAAGGCTGCTACATAACCTAAAGTTACAACAGTAATTAAAGTTGTTTCTCAATGCAGCATTAAAATTCATAGTGGAAATTAAAGTTGAAGAGCCTTATTTAAAATAAGACACATGAATTTATATTAAAGAAACTTCTGTTAATCCAAGATTTGGTATTTGGGGTAAATTATTTACCCTGGCTTTTTTAGAGTTGCTTTCTTCATCTCATGTAATTATTTTACTTTAAAAAGCTAATCTCTAATTGGAGCGGAAGATCTTTGTTCTGATTCCTTTAATTTAAAAAAAATATATTTTATTGTCGTAGTTAGATTTTTGTGGCTTAATTTTTTACCAAGGATGTCTGTCTGTCTGGCCCCCTCTACATGTGCAAGAAAAGGCATGATGGCATATAATATGCAACACACACAGTCATACCTCCTGCCATGCCACGCATGCATGGCAGGAGGCGCGGTTGTGGAATCACACATTAGATCATATTGCGCCTTATTGCCGGTGCAGGGGAAGCCTGATCCTGTGCTCGCCTTGCACCAACAAGAAGCAGGTTCCAGCAGCTGGGAGCCCCAGGCACCCCAACTGAGGGGCTCCCAGCCATGGGGGCATCCCATGCACTCCTGGGGATAGTGGATTGCCACAGGGCAATTTTCCTCTCTTTTCCCCTCTGGGGCTGTGGGAAACCTCTGGGACCAGAGGATTGCTGCACAGGCGGTCAGCTGACAGGGATCCCAGCAGCATGGGAGATCCAGTTACACCTGCAAATTTAAAGCTCTGTAGCAGCCAGCTATAAAGTTAATACACACTTTCAAGGTCTAACTTTGTAGCTGGTTGGAGCTTTCTATAGTGTGATAGCTACTTTGCATGTGTAGCTGGTCTCCAGCTAATTTGCACAATTGCATAATACCTGTAATGTGCAAAGGGGGTTTCTGTCTGTCTCCAATTTATATCTTTTCTTTTTGAAACGTTTCTTTTAAAATGCACCTAATACTGTTGGCTTTGGCTAAGCCAACATATACGATTAGTAGTGTGCGGGCCGGGAGCGCTCCGGGCCCTTTTTGTGCTCTGCGCGGGCTGTGGCCAGCAGCCTGGGCACGCGGGGTCGGAGAGAACGGGCGACATGCTAGAACTAGGCACGGACGCTTAATGGTTGATTTAAAGATTGTTTACTTACACCGAAGATGGTCGCGGTGTAGGCTGGACAGTTTTCCAGGCACAGCTCCGATTAAATCCTCGTTTGAGGACTACGACAGGCTCTCTCTCTCCCACGGAGTTGTTGAAGCTCCGTGGGTCCGTTTATTCTCTGTCCCACAAAGTTTGCTAGGTTCCGTGGGTCCTTTTGTTCACTCACACGAAGTTTGCTAGGCTCCGTGGATCCTTTTGTGCACAGGGAAGAGGGATACGTCGAGGATTGCGCTCGGTGACGGGGAGAGGCTAGAGGCTGATCAGACCCCTGTTGCCTGCTTTAAATGCTCTGGGTCCAATAGGCTCCGCAGAGCTTAGAGATCTTCACACAGTGTGAAGTCTCCTCCTCCTGGTGTTCGTGGAGTCCTCCAACTTGGGCGGAAACCACTCAAGCTTCTTATACGGCTAGCAAGCCAATCACTAGCCGCCACGTGAATAATTTAACGCAAGCCAATAATGGGGCTCGAATTATAATACAAATGGTGGGAACTCTTTGCACCGAGCATTTCTTAGATGCAAAAAGAAATGCACCATGCAAAGAAAGCTACAAATTGGCGGGAAATTCTTCCTTGCACCGGGGTTCTCCTTTACAGCAGAAAACTCCACCGTGCAAAGAAGCTGCAATTTAGCGGGAAAATAATTTAGCAGTGCCAAAGCGCACACACAACAAAAATCACAACTTTGGGTTGTGACAAGTAGAATCTTAAATTATATTAATTTTTAAACTTAAGTTGTTAGATGTATTTTAAAGAAATGTTTCTCAGAAGATCTGAATTGTAGTTTATATATTATGCAAGATAGGTTAGACTTGTCTCCAATTTGTTCTCTGAAGGGTTTTTTGTTGAGTATTTTCTTGTACAGATTATACCCATTATCCTGATGGTAGGTGAAAGAGAGGGCTTTGAAGTTAAAGACCTTGTGAAAAAGCTGCCTTGTACTCTATTCAGAAGGTGTATCGTCCTTTTTTAACAGTGTTGCTTGAAGTTTGCTGTGTTACCCAGGATTCTAGAGGCTGCAAGTTGCATGGAAAATTATGAAATACAGGCAACACTGCCCCTTGCTGTATTAGTTTTTCTTTGCAACTGATATGGAACTGGAAAAG